CTCCAACATGGAACTCCGTCAAATCTCCACCGATTGGGACGTTCTTGATATCGTCAGAATCGTACGAATTAGGACTATTTTTAGATACCAATTCCGTACCGAGTCGTCACATGAACGAAAGTGGTCTTATAGTCGTGAAATCGGGTATCCGAGCCGGCTCTGCGCGTGGGCGATTATCCCGCCTACACCGTGACAATTGGTCTGCATCAAGTAATCCTGAGAGAACAACAAAGGTATCAATGTGGCTTGGTTGCGACCCCAACATCAATGGCGGTCATCCCCCAGTTACCTTACCCATCAGCAGTTGGAATCGCAAACTGATGCCCTTGTCTAATCAAACAAACCACCCAGTCACCCCTTTGCATCCCTCATTTGTGATAGCATGCTGGCACGTGCTGCACCGCTTAGTGGCAGTACCTTCACCGATCATAACGCACCCCAGTGGTCCGATGCATCAAAGGATCATGCGATCTGTCGGCACTGATGCATACCGTATCTATCCTATCTAATCACAGTGGGTATTATGAATCATAATACTTGTGCCATGGCGATTTTTTGGTATCATAAAAAAGACAAAAATCACACCTTTCCAACGGTGAAACGGGAATGGAAGTCCGGTAAACGGTTCAGGAGTTATGGCCAATTCATTGTCGTGCCCTGTTATAGAGATAGACTAGATTCTTATGGTCCGTGACTGCAAGTAGGTAGGTTGTCTCTGCCCTCCTTCATTATATTTCTCTGTCAAACTCCATGCCAAGCTTTCCCACCGGGTTTTGGTGCTGGCTGGGGGAATTGTTAAGTTTCAGGGGACTTCCCTTGACCATTGGAACTTTGATATTAGATAGAAACCAGTCATATGACATGTAAAGGCAAATGCTGAGGATGTTTTCTCATTATTGAATACATAACCCACAAAACCTTGTACCGCAATTGTAACATCCTCACCATTGTGCCACCACTGTAAACTCAACCTGTAACCTTGGAACCATGTCCACTTCCCTATTCATCCACTCCATGACAAAACCGCAACGAGGAGGGCATTCCCATGCCCAACCTCCTGCTGCCTGCTCCCACCAGTCCACCGGGTGGTTGAGCAGTCTGTCATATCCGTGCATACCTGACCCCGATCTGACTTCCGGACCTCCACCCTCTTCACCTCCGGAGTCATAACCTACCGCTGCCGTTCCAATACTCACCTTCGGTCTTGGCAACACACCCCTCCTCTTACCTCTCCGACCCTTTCTCCGTCCGTTCCAATACTCATCTCGGACCGAACATCCCCCCACTCGCCACCCTTCCTACAACTCCGCTCCCCCCTCACAACACCTCCACCCTCCTGTCATCCCCCTACGCTTCCCCCGTCCGCTCCGATACTCACCTTCGGACCTGACTACTCTCCTTTCCGCCACTCCCTCTTCCTTACCTGTCCCCTCTCTCCTCCTCCGCCACCCTTCCGCCAAGTTACGACCTTCCACCGCTGTTCTGTACTTCGCACTCGGACACCGCTCGTACCTTACTCTGAGCCTCCGTCATAGTCCCTACCTCGGACTTTGACTCCACCTCGGCCTTAGTCCATTGCATTGGTGACCTCATACTACGTAAACACCATTGCCAATATTCCTTGGACTTCCAACCCCGCCTCCATAACCTCCGTAAGCTCCGCAACCCCTGAGCTTCGCAGACTGCCTCCGGCACTCTCGCCATTTTGTAATGTATTTCTCGCAATTCCCCCTCATCCCTATTTGGACTACTGCTTCCTTCTATTCTAGCCAGTTAGTCATCACCCCCACTTCCCCTCATCCTCCTGCCCCTCTGGGCCTCGCCCTCTCTACCTCCTTTCGGACGTATCACAGGTCTTGCCCTGTGACCTTCGGTACCACTCCACTCCCTTCACCCTTTGTTCCCGTTCGGACGTCTTCGTTCCGATTCGGTCACCCTTTGTTCTCTTTGTGCTTTTGCCCCTTCCATTATATATATCGGCGCTTGTACATACTCGTCTTGGTTTTCAGTCCAAAATCGACCTGAAATGCCCCCAAGAGACTTCCTGCTCACCTACTGTGAAATTAAGGACCAAATGGACAAACAGCAATGGCACAGCGCTCCGCTTGAGTCGCTGAGGCCAAGGTCCCTCCACGCTAAGTCTCCGATTCCACTCTGGAGTCGTCCGTTTCTGCCCCGTTCTAACACAGTCACTCCCATCCAACCAGAAGTTCCCTATCAGGAACTGTAGCCTATCCCACCTCCTTAGGAGAGGGATATGGTCCAGGCAGCTCCAGGATGCCTGGCCATGCACCCATGGGTCCCACTTCCCACGGTCACCCACTACCGTGTACTGGTCCACCAGCCCGCTTTCCCCAACAACTCCAGCTACCGGTACGCTCCCATGAGCGCCAAGTCACCAATAGCCACCAACTGGGTGACTCCCTTTGGGAGTCCCAGTATCCCACGCTACCGGTATGCTCCATTGAGTGCCAAGTCCCTGCTAGCAGACAGCCAGGTGGCTCCCTCAAGGAGCCCACATCATACTCACTACCGGTATGCTCCCAGGAGCGCCAAGTTACCGTTGGCCAGCCCACAGGTTGTACTTCCAGACACTCATCCCATTCCACTCTCCCTCTGATGGCTGCACAGCCACCTCCATTAGTGAGCCGAACGGTTCAGGTTGGGTTCCCCGGAACCCATTCCTGTAACATGCCCAGTCGTGCCCTAGTCGTGCCCTATCGTGCCATTGGCCAGTACTCGGCCAGTTCTCAATATTATGAAATATAAACGAGTGTCCAAAGGCCGTATGGATCTCCTCTACAAGATGCAAAAAACCCCGAGCGAATAGCTACCACGGTTACTGAGTTATTGAGGAAACAAAGTTGTGCCCTGAGTTTTAGTGTTTGAGCTCAAGTTGAGAATCAATTCATTTGGGGTGTATAGCATATCAGAAGGTAGGTATTGAAAATCTATACACGATGCAGAAAACCCTGAGCGAAACGGGTCACTCGTTGTGAAGTTATTCAAGAAATAAAGTTTGAACATGGGACCATGGGCACAAGTGGAGGGCACAAGTGTGTTTATTGAATAGCTCGAGAACGAGAGCAGCTATTGACTCAGGGTCTTTTGCATCCGGTGGAGATTATCAATACGGCCTTTGGAACATCAACGACGCCTGATAATACTGAGAAATGGGGGAGAAACCAGCAATGGCACAAGTAGGGCACAATTGACTTGTGCCCAATCGTGCCATGGACCATTATTCATCCATTTGTCGGTATTATCAGGCTTTGATGAATGTCCAAAGGCTGTATAGATGCCCTCTACAAGATGCAACAAACCCGGAGTGATTAGCTGCCCTGGTTACCAAGTTATCAAGGAAAGAAAATAGTGTGCCAAGTCGTGCCCTATCGTGCCATTGGCCAGTACTTGTTGAGTTCTTAACATTATGACTTATAAATTGGTGTCCAAAGGCCGTATGGATCTTTTCTACACGATGAAAAAAATTATGAGTGAAACGGGTTACTTGTTGTGAAGTTATTTGAGAAACAAAGTTGGACAATGGGCAAATGGGGCACAAGGCACAAGTGTGTTTATCGAATAACTTGGGAACAAGAGGAGCTACTGACTCAGGGTCTTTTGCATCCGGTGGAGATTATCAATACGGCCTTTGGAACATCAATGGCACCTGATAATACTGAGAAATGGGGGAGAAAACGGCAATGGCACAAGTAGGGCACAATTGACTTGTGCCCAATTGTGCCATGGACCATTCTCATCCATTTGTTGGTATTATCAGGCTTTGATGAATGTCCAAAGGCCTCTACAAGATGCAACAAACCCAGAGTGATTAGCTGCTCTGGTTACCAAGTTATCAAGGAAAGAAAATAGTGTGCCAAGTCATGCCCTTAATAAATTGATAAGTGGATGAAGAAAATAGGGAAAATGCGGGGTGTTTTGGAGTGGAATATGGTGAGGAGATAGAATGGGGAGATATTTTATTTGTAATTTTTTGGGGAAGTTTTTTTTTGAGGGTGCACTTGGGTGCAGAGGGTGCAAGTGAGGGTGCAAGTGAAATTGAAAGTGAAATATCTTAGTGAAGAAAGTAGATATAAATATGGGGTCTTTTTCAGAGTGATATATTTAGCAGAGAGAATGGAATGGAATTTTTAAATATTTTTCTGGCAAATGAATTTTGAGGGTGCACTTGGGTGCAGTGAGGGTGCAAATTCAATTAAAAGTGGAATAGGTTTTGACTGGATGGATGAAAATTGAATGGTTGATAGGGTTAGGAAGGTGTGATTTTAGTGAAAATTATAAAAGCCAAAAGAGAGAAGTGGCTGTGCAGTTTTTGCACAGCCACAAGATAAATTTTCTGATAGAAAGAAAGTGGAAGGTGAGAAAGTCGGGAGAAGAGGTTAGAACTGAAGTTGAGAAGGACTTGAGAAGACAACTAGACAACTAGACAACTAGACAAGGGAAGAAGTGAAAAATGGAAAACTGTTGAACTTGAGAAGACAAGAATGCAACAAGGTGACAACACAACAAGGCAATGACTAGAGAACTAGACAAGGGAAGAAGCAAAAATGGAAAACTAAGGAACTAAAAAAAAGTGAGAACTGAAGTTTGAAGTCTCAGTTGAGAATCTAAGAAGGTCAACTAGACAACTAGACAATGCAACAAGGCAACTACACGACAAGGTGACAAGGCGACAACTAGACAAGGCAAGAACAGGAGGTGACAAGGCAAAAAAAAAAAAAATCTATAGAAGAACCTGGCAATAGGCTATTGCTGCTGCAACCTCATGACTTTTATTTATGCATGTGGGTGAACATCATGAATACAACATCATATTGTATATACAAGAATACAATCATCATGACAACCAGTGGAAGAGGGACTCACTCCCCAAGCCTTTTGAGACCAGTGGTGTTTGGCACCAGGTCTCCATCATCACCTTTCTGTTTCGTTTTTGACAATGAGGGACCAGTTGTCTTGGAGGTGCCTTGAGCCCTCTGTCAGGTGGGCACAGAAACAATTGGGATTGGGTCAGCAGCAGTTCTGCCACGTTTGGTTGGCATGGAAGATGTAGATGTTGGTAAGGACCCAGGAGGGCGAGGACATTTGGTGGGTGGTGGAGGTGTGTCACCTAGCAAAGTGAGAGGTGAGGACAATGCCGCAGGGTTACCCCTGACATCATCCTCATCTCCCTCATGATCCTCGTCCTCACCCTCATCTTCCTCGTCCTCCTCCTTGTCCTCCTTGTCCTCTTCCTCATCCTCATCCTCCTCCTCCTCCTCCTCATCCTCTTTCTCCTCCAGATCCTTCATCACAGTGTCATGATTGGCCTGGATACAATGCAGTGGACATTCATAATTATTGAGTGGGATGCCCAGAATCATCAAACAGTTGAGTGAACTCACTTTGACCACAGTGTTAAAATCATTACTCCCTTTCGGGGGGTCAGGGAGTGGTTTGGAGTTAGTGGACTGTTGCTGAACAGCAGATCACTAAGCAATTGAGATCATGATCAATATTATTATTAAAACTTACCAGTCCTTTGTAAAACATTGGGCTGAACTCCCACCCAGATGATTGCAAGGTCGGAACTGTGCTTTGAGTGGGATCAGGAGATGGAAACATGGGGGGATCCAGTAACTGCAAAAAAGTGTAATCCCAAGTCATGAAGGGTCATGAATTCATGTAGTTTTGTGAAGCTGCACAGAAATTCATGAGGATTCATGAGGGTTCATGCAGGAGCATACACAGTCATGCAGTCTCATGAAAGTTTTCATGAACTTTCATGACTTAATATAACCAGTTCAAGTCAGAAATTGACACATTATGCACCCCCATGCCTTCTTATGAATGTTTATGAATGAGAATGATTTTCCATGAAGAAGAATACAACCCAAAGTATTTTCTGTATTTTTTGAGAGCACAGTAAACAGAATAAGTGCACATATAGTGAACCAGCTCATCCAAATTCCTTCATATAATCTGGGACTATTGCATCACAATGAGATACAGAAAAAAGCCTTAATTCATGTGACAAAAATGGTACCTACCACATAACATTTGATGGAGAATTGAAGGAGATGTCAGAGACCAGATTTGGGACAAATGGAAATGACTCTATGTTTGGAGGGCTATGGCCTCAGCGACTCTACCAGGAGCACTGTGCCCAGTATCATGTCGGTGCCCTAATTTACGGACTGAGGAGTCTTCTAGAACAGGGGGATTAACTCTAGTCGATTTGTTCACTGAGGTGTACAGTAACTACAAGTTATGATACAGAGGGAGTCTAGGCAGCAGGCCCATAAATGGCAGGGGCTGGATGGAGCTGACCTAATGGGGTCAAGTAGCTGACTGAATACTACTGATGACTTGGGTTACAGGGTTAATGGGCTATAACCCAGAAGTGGAATGGAGGGATTGGTCCAAAGGTGGACTTGCAGGGTAGGCAACTAAATGACCCAGCAGAGGCAGGGGTGCACTTGCAGACATTGGAGCTGTCTGGAGACCTTCAGAGTTCTGTACTTAGGGAGGCTTAGTAATATGTTGAAATGGGTGGGTGGTGACCATCAGGGGAGCTGGAGGAGATTGCAGGATCTGGCAGCTCTGAGGTTGGAGATGAAGGAGCAGAGGCAATCTGGGATGGCTGGAGGTGACAGAAGGTGGTGGCAGTGGATGGATATGACAGGAGAGACAAATGGGGGGAAATTTGGTTGCACCTTGCACACTCAAGCCATGTGCTCAGTCATGACTCTCCATGAAGAGTCAGGAATATTCATGAAGGGTCATGAGCATTCATGTGCAGGTATGGGAATTGTTGGGCATGCTCATGACCATGCAGGGACATTCATGGACATTCATGGCTCTGCATGAAGATTCATGATGCATAGCTTCATGACTTTTCATGAAGTCAGCAGTCATGAACCTTCATGAAGTTTCATGAAACAGCATGAAATTCCATGCTGCTTCATGAAAATTTTCATGAAGGTTCATGCTTGCCAAAAAAATCAACTTTTTGGGTTGAAAATTAATGATTTCAATATAAATATTGTATATAAACATAAAGGTTCATGAACCTTTATGATGTTTCATGAAAATTCATGGGATCCATGAAGGCTCATGAAGGTTCATGAAGTGGATTACACTCTTGATTGCCTCATGACATTGCACCATCACAGAGCGAGCTGTTGAATCTAGCTCATGGATGAACCCTTCATTCTCATCCAGCCATTCTTCTTCTAGGTCCAACCCAGAGCGCCTTGCTTCCAAGCCCATTTTCGTTGACACCAAAGTCTCTATCTCCTGGTTGATTTGGTTCAGGTGGACCAAAGTGGTGTCTTGCTGCTCTCTTACAGTGTTGACTTGTCCCACTATCTCCATTCCCTTTTGTTGGTACTCATGATGGTGCTGTGGAGAATAGGGTTCCATTGTAACCCCAGATGTGAAGGTGTAGGAGGACTTCCTGCATGAAAGGGGGACAAAGCGCTGCAACAAAGACCACCACGACATACTTTTTTCGATCATTCAACTGATAGTAGAGCAATCAAAGAGCTTCACTGTTTCCATTGCGAGTTTGGTTTGTCCAGCCTTGCTTGCTCCTTTGGTCGTCGCTTTTACTGCAGCATTGTGTATTGATGGTGTCTAGGCCAGCATTTCCACCACCTGTAATCGATAGTCAGTCAATCAAACACCCAGCCCATCCAAAATACTTACACCCTCTCCTTCAACACCAATTTCCTGCACCAAAGTGGGATGGTGGTGTCCCAAAACAAGAATGGGTTGTCCTCTGTGAAACAAAAGTGGTCCATGTCTCCTTGCCTCCTACTTCCACCATGAGTGCTCATCAATTTGAGTTTTTCAGGCTCAAAGACAATGAACCTGAACTGTGTGGCTACCCATCAACCTCCTTGAATGCATTTGATCCACATCATATGGACTTACCAGTGCAAAGGACCAATGTATCTTGGCCATCTCATAGTTCAGGTTTGATTTTTTTGCTTGGACATATTCAGGATGAAGAACCTGAGAAACATTCAACCCAATGCCAACAATCAGCCCATGGAACTCACATGATGGCAGTCAAACACCCATCTCTCACATCCCTTGGGTTGCAACACACTGTCAGATCAGCAGGGACCAGCTTGCATGCTCAAGGGCCTCTCCTGCATACACCTCATTGCTCTCTTTCTCCAGAGACCGCCACATGGGAGGTGACTTGAGCCATATTGGGTGGGAAACTTTTAGCTGTTCCTCTGTGATGGTGGTGATGTCCAGAGGGTGCACTAGCTGTGTTAGCTGTGCAATGTGGATCTTCAGAACATCCAAGTATAGCTAGGACAGAAACTAGTTCAACAATTGTGTTTGCTTACCCTATGCATCCCATTGCTCGTCCATTCTTCTACATAACCAAAGCTCTTCCACTCCCTCCAGCAAGGAATGGTCATAAGCTCCTTGACCCTCTCGACCAATGAGCTACACCTCCATATATCCACCATCCCCTTTGTCTCCTTCTGTCAGAAACTGTATTCGAGGTGATCGCGGGAAGCAGAGTGGAGTACAGCGGCATGAGTGGTCACTTAGCTAATGAGCTACTCCATTGCAAGGTGTCATGGGGGTTGGGACTTCAGCTTCAACGACTTGGCTAGAGCATTGCACCACACGTTCTAGGCTGTCCCATATTTCACGTTTAGTGGGAAAGACCTTGTGGTGACGTTGACTTAAGCGGGGATGAAGTTGAGAGGCAAACTTAAGATGAGAGTACTTGGGGGGAATTCTAGTTGATATTCGAACTAAGGTACATCGACAGTAAACTACAAGTATAAATACGAAAGGAGAACAGAGAAGGGGCCAGTCAGTCTGGCGCAGGATGGGAGCGGGATGGTAAGTACGACAGAACTAAAAGAGCAATGAGGACCAGGGAAATGGAACAGAAGAAATGAATGGAACAGAGGACGGCAAAGTTGGGAGGCTGAATGAATAGGCCGACAATCTAGGTGCCAATATGGTGGCAGATCAGAATGTCAATATATGAATAAATCAAATGTCAATAAAGGAATAAACCAAATGTCAATAAGGAGTGGATCAGCGGCGACCATATCAACCGCTAGTTAGTTAAGCAAATGAATAAGAATAAAACGGTATCGGCCAAATGGCTGAGGAACTCAAGTGGTGGCAGGAGAACGAAGGAGGCACTGCTACAGGGCTGTAGGATGGGAACCACTATCAGCACCACTAACTGATGGGCAATGGCACGATTAACGGGTGCGAGTAATGGGTGCAAGAATGGGGGTGCAGAAAGTGGTAGAAGGGCAGGGACTTTGCGGGGCTGTGACAGTATCCCCCTCTTAGGCCTGAACCCCTGAAGGCCTGAGTTCCACAGCGTGAGAGTTTTCCGGCAACTTCCGGGGATTTTGTTTCTGCTGGCTAGACTCAAAATTTTCGTTCATCACTCTCATTCTCGCTTCTCAATACTTTCCACAATGTCTTTGGCACGTGCTACCAACATTCTCAACTTGTCTCTCTGGGTGGACACGGCGCTAGAAGAGTGCATGTCAGACTCTGAGGAGCTGGCAATGGCCAAAGCTCGTGAACGATGCCTGCATCGATTGCAGGCCCAGAAGGAGGAAGAGGATCAACAAGTGAGGGAGGAGGAGGAGCGCAAGGCACATGAGGCGGAAGAATGAGAAAGGAGGAAGGTTGAGAGGGAGAAAAGGGAGCAATGGGCCAGAGCCCAGAAGGAGTTGGCATGAGCTCAACGAGAGAAGAGGCACACAGAGGAATCAAGCGAGGGCTCAGCGCCTAACAAGATAAGTAGGCCCATTTTCTTGAACTCATCTTTAATTGAACAATACTGATGGTTTCTTTCGTTAGCGCCAAGTCGTTGAGGTCAAGTTACCCAGTCAAGAGTGGACCTCTTGTTCGCAGTGTGTCAGACATAAGGTCCGCTGCATGCATGGTCCTGGCAAGGCCTGCCAGGAATGTTCCCGGGTGAGGCAGAGGTGTGACCTGGTCGACCATGGTGCAGAAACGACATCTAAGCACCACCGGGTTGGGTCATCAGACCTTATACAAGAGCTTGGGGGGCTGAGGAAGGATGTCAGGGCCATCAGGGTCGCGATCGAGCGAGTTGGTGAGCGAGTTGGTGATATCCTGAAAAGGATCGCAGGACGGGTTGGTGAGGAGCTGCATGGCAACGTGAAGAGGAGGGGTGTGGTCGAGAGTGAGGCAGATAGTGGAGAGATTTCGAGTGAGGAGGATGAGGATAAGGACGAGCAGAGGACAGAGGAAGAGTCGGAGGGAGTAATGGGTGATGATGGCGGCGATAATGGTGCTGGGAACAAGGCCATGGATGTGGAGGCTTCCAACGTTGGTTTTCCCTCATTGTAATCTAGATCCTTCTTCCCACTTTTTTTTTTTTTTGTTAATTAATTCCTCGTCCACTTCGAACTAAGCATGATCAGGGCCTGGCTTGCCTGGGTAGCATGAGTGGAAATCAGTAACCAACTCTGAGGCATGTCCCAGCTCAGTAGCCAGTAACCAGGAAGTCTCGTCATCTGTCCCTTCATAACCTAGCCAATGTACCAGATAGAGTAGCTTACAGTTGCGGTGGTGCCAGTCGACCTTGGAGTCTAATATCTCAGAGATCTCATACTTGGGTTCTCCATCGACCTCGATCGGCGGCAGCAGAGTTTGTATGCGGTTGGGAATGGTGTTTGGGGTAGACGGTTCGAGCTGAGAGACATGGAAGATGGGGTGGACAGATTTCAGGGTATCAGGAAGTCGGAGGGTGCGGGAGTGTGTACCAGGTTGTGCGATGATCTCGAAGGGCCTGAGGTTCTTTTCTGAAAGCTTTTTCGAAGATCAAGTAGAGTGGAAGTACTTAGCTTTGACATAAACTGAACTACCGACTTCAAATAGCGGGGGGCCATTTGGCGAGCATCGGTGGGACCTTGGTAACGTTCTTGAGCCTGATGCATTTCCTCACGAAGAAACTGATGCAGGGAATCAAGATCCACGGAGTATTCCTGGGCACGGGCAGAGGAGAGGTCTCGTTTGGGATGGACAGAGATGGTTGGGTGATAACCCTTGTTGGCAAAGAACGGTGAAACGCCGGTAGTAGCACTCGGCGCGTTATTGTAGGCGAACTCGGTGAGAGGGAGCAACTCAGACCAGTTGTCCTGTTGATAGTTACAATAAACGTGTAAGTACTGCTCCAGTGTCTGATTCATGCGTTCCATCTGGCCATCGCCTTCAGGGTGATAGCCAGAGGTGAAATGGAGTCGCATGTCAAGGGCCTTACCCAAAGAACGAAAGAAGTGAGAGACAAACTCGGACCCTCTATCAGAAGTGACGTGCGCCGGAACCCCATGTTTAGAGAAAATGTGAAGGAGGAACAACTTAGCTAGTTCGGGTGCTGTGGTAGTATTGTGGGTCAGGATAAAGATGCATTGTTTAGAGAGACGATCCATGACTACTAGTATGGTGGTGAAACCAGCAGAAGACGGAAGTTGTTCAATGAAGTCCATGGAGATAGAGTTCCACAGGTGTTCAGGGATGGGGAGTTGCTTTAACAGACCATAGGGCTTGTGGCGCAGAACCTTGGCATGGGCGCAGGTGGTACAGGAAGAGACGTAATCTTTGACAAACGTGCAAATGCCTGGCCAAGTGTACTCTCGATGGATTAGGTTGAGGGTGCGGCTTTGCCCAAAGTGTCCAGACAGGGGGTGATCGTGCTTATACCTCAGAATCTGCAGACGGAGATTGTTAGCATCTGGCACATAGATACGGTTGTCTAACCTAAGCAAACCATTATTATCTAGTGACCAGTGTGAATCTGTGGGAATCGGGGAAGTGAGGTGTTGGGCAATGGCAGGGTTGGTGGGAAGGGCGGTGATGATGTCCTGATGGATGGCCTCGACGTCGACCAGTGTGCCTGCACGGAGAACAGGAGTGGCAAGGCAAGTGGCTCAAAGGGACGATGTGAGCTGTTCCTGGGTGAAGACTGGGCGAAAGTTTTGCAGGTTGATGCAGGCATAGTCCCTATCCCCCTCTTTGGGATAGACGTCCCAGCGTCTAGTCAACGCATCAGGCTTGGCACCGAGTCTACCAGGATGAAAACGGACAATCATGTTGAATTGGGAAAGGAACTCAGACCAGCGGGCTTGCCGGTGAGTGAGGAGTTTCATGGTGGAGAAGTATTCCAGGTTTTTGTGATCTGTGACGATGTCGATGGGGTTGGCAGAACCTTCAAGATAGTGACACCAGGAATGGAAGGCTTCATAAATGGCTAGGAGCTCCTTGTCATGTGTGTCATAGTTGAGTTCCGGTGCTGTCAATGTCTGCGAGCGGAAAGCAACAGGACATATCTCTTCATCAGTACAACGAATAGAAATAATACCTGATATCGCATAGTCCGAAGCATCAGTTTCAATGATTAGTGGGGTGTGGGGGACCCAATGCGTCAAGATAGGAGCGGAGGTGAAAGCGTCCTTGAGGCGTTGGAAGGCGGAGTGACAGTTGTCAGAGAATACCCAGGGTACTCCCTTACAAGTGAGGCAGGTGAGAGGAATCACAATGTCGGAATACTCGTGAATGAAGCGGCGATAGAAGTTAGCGAATCCCAGAAAGGGTTGGATATCCTTTACTTTACGTGGCTCGGGCCAATCCTGGATGGCTTTAATTTTCTCTGAGGACATGGACAATCCATTTGGCGAGAGAATGTACCTGAGGTACTCCATCATATCAGTATGGAACTCACACTTCTGCGGATTGGCAAACAAGCCGTGAATGCGGAGCCTACGCAGGACCTTGTGAACATGTTCCTCATGTGAGGCCATGTCAGCGGAGTAGATAAGAATGTCATCAAGGTAGACTACCACACACACATCGAGGAGATCAGCGAAGACGGAATTCACGAACCGCTGAAATGCCGCAGGGGCGTTTGACAGACCAAAGGGCATTACAAGCCACTCATAGGAACCGTAGTGTGTGCGGAAAGAGGTCTTCCACTCGTCCCCAGTGGCGATGCATACCAAGTGGTAGGCATGCCGGAGATTGAGCTTTGTGTAGACTTGGGCACACCTTGGGGTGTCTAGGAGGTCAGAAATTTGTGGGAGTGGATAGCGGTCTTTCTTCGTGATCTTGTTGAGGCCTCTAAAGTCGATGCAAAGACGGAGGGAACCATCCTTCTTGTGGACAAAGAGCACGGGGGCGGAGGATGACGAGCAGATGAATCCCAACGCCAAGTGCTCATCAAGGAAAGTGCATAGGGCCTCAAGTTCAGAAGGAGAGAGAGAGTACAAAGTACCCAGTGGTGGATGTGTACCTTCCTCTAGCTCGATCTTTAGGTCGAACTCACGGTGCAGTGCAAGCGTATTGGCTTTCTTCTTGCTGAAGATGTCTGCAAACTCGTGGTATGCTGTTGGTACGGCTGAGAGGTCAATAG